TTCGGCCGTAAAATGTGCTAAACTGTTAATACGGCAAACATACCATAGCCAAATCAAATAACAACAGGGCCGGAAAGAGTGGGTCAGCTGCTGGTCTTCATTCCGCAGCCTTCGCGATTTTATGCAAATTCCGCATCGAGAGGAATTCCTGAAAAGGTGGAAAATAAAAGTTAAGTTAATTGCTTTTGCATAAAGCAGGCGCCAAGAGGCAGAAAGTCAAAGGAGGAAGCTGCACGGTGAATGGCAAAGAAATGAAACTCAGTCGAGCTGCCAGCTGAGTTGCTGCTCAATTGAGTGGAAAAATTTTTCATCCATTGGCTTCCATTTTGCGGGGAGCGCTTCGGGAAGGGTCCGGAAAATTCAAGGCAGTCTGAGAATAAGTTTGCAAAAATTGCGGGAATTTTCAAGCGAAGCAAAGAAGTAGAGTGCTGCAAGAAATCAATGAACACGCCACGAAGTCATTCTCGCAAATAAGCTGGATAAATTTATTTACTCGAAACAAAATTAAATTGAAAACAAGGTATTTTCCTTGAACAAGAAATCTTAACTTAAATTTCACACATGCATGAATTTAACTTATTTCTTTATAAGCATTTGAACATTCTTAAAAATTAATCAACAAAGGCCCTTAGTTGACAGTAAGTAAAACCCGACATAAGCGTGATTAATCTAATCAAGTCAATCTGCGTTTGTCAACAATCTCCGGCAAATCTTGATCGAGGGACAGCCTTATAATTTTAACCCATTTCATTTGTCAAAGGCCAAGTGAAAAGCTCTGCGTAAGCCAAATGAATTCGGGTTCGGGCTAACTGGCCCCACAAAAAAGCCTAATAAATGAGGGTAGGGCGATGGCGGTCCTTAGCAGCTAATAAGTACCTCAAACAAGATTCTTAATCCCATACCCAGCATTTGGCCCCTAGGTCAACGAACAGGTTGATAAACACTGGACCTCTCCCGAAAAACACATCTGGGAATCCATTAGGGCCAGCTGGCTTTACGTCAAATGCCCGTGTGCCAGAAACAATGAGTCGACTTCAATGAGAGTTGAACGACTCCCACGAAAAGCCCCAGAAAACTTTTCTTCGAGAGGTAAACGGCTCACTTGCCCCGCAAAGTATGCAGCCATATTTTACACATGAAAGTTAGGGCCGCAGCCAAAAAACGAAGAAAAGACCGGACCCCGGACAAAAAACACATTGTCGGCCGCACGGGCTACATAAATAATTTCCACCGCACACTTACTCACTCACCAAGTCCTGGCACTTTGACTAAATGGTGTGTAATAAAATTTAAATTGCTTTTGTCTGGATTTTCTTTTAGTATTGCCGTTAAAGTTGCCTTTGCCGAGGAGGAATTTCCTCATCTAGGCCAACTAGACACCATGGTTTTATATTATTTAGATGTCCTCATTTTCCAAAAAAATTACTGAAAATACTTTTTATAACAAACTTAAAGAGGGGGCCTTAAAAAGTTTATAATGCCCAAAACATGTAGGACAATAAAAGTACAATTTAAGTAACTTCAATAAAGTTATTTTTGTATTACATTCAAAAAAGGACCATTAACTTTATAATAATTTGTTTATTCAAAGAGTTTGTCATGCAATATTTTTAAGATATTTTAAAAGCAATTATACAAGAGCTCCAAAATGTATTAGGTTATAATTGTTGAATATGCATTGCACCGAACAAAGACATAATTTTGCCCTTGAAATTATATTTTTAAGAACGGTTTTCGATACTTTGAGGAACTATTAAATTTAAGTACTGTTCCTATTCATTTAATAACACAAACATTGTTGAAATCCTTATTTTTCAAACTTTAGGGGCCTCGAAAAATACCTTTTAATTTAGATTGCCGTTGTCTGCAATTGGCCCACCGTGCTGGCCAGCCACACATTCCTTCATTTATAACAATTGCCCAAATTGCTGCTAATTAAATATGATTTAGCTGGCTAGTGCAAACGTCTGTCTTTGGCTGAGCTGTCAATATTTGTCAGGAAGCGGGCGATAAAGCGGCCGTGTCCTTCCACCACCACACAGACGTGTCTGGGCCCGTCCCTGACCCTTGACATTAGACCGTGCATGAAGCCGGCCTCGGGCAACCAAATTTGTTTATAATTCAAATAGCAGAAAAAAGGGCAAACTATGCAACAGCAAGGAAAATTGTGGAATTGTACAAAAACGAGGCAAGGAAAACACGTTAAGCAAACACGATAACGATACTATATAGATATGAGGAGGGAGCCGGCAAGGACAACAAGGACACTGCCGAAACACAAGCAGGCAAATTTATTTCAATTTAAAAATTTTGGTCACGCTCGACACAGAAAGCGAGTTAAGCGAGTGGGTGAGAAACAGAGGGATCGAGCTGGGAAGGGGGCTGAACTGGGGGCAACTGCCATTTGTATAATTGCTGTCGTGATGGAGGAGTAAACTCTGCTCCGCACTGCCGAAGTACTGTCTCCCCCCGGCCCTCGAAGATTCCTTTTCCTACTTTATGCCATGACATGCTCCAAGGACGCTTGACAGCAAATGGATAAGGACATTATCATCTGTGGACAGGGGGGCTCAAAAAACGGCAATATGAAAACTAGCCAGCGCGAGGATAACCGGAGGCTAGATGTTATTGAAAATTGAGATGAGCGCTTGCCAGTGGAAGGTCCTGCGGGCTAGGAATGGATTCCAAGTAAGCACAATAGATAGATCCTAGACAAAGAGTACCGGTATATTTTCGGGGATGCCTTAAAGCGCTATTAAATAAAAACCCCCAAATATAAGAAGAGCCTATTTTTAACATAAATTGTGCCATTAAAGATATCGGTTTATTATTAATCAAATAAGATTAAAATACTTTGTAAAGGTTATTTCATGAGAAAAACCATTTAATTTAAAGATAATAAATGCTTTAAAATATGTAACAGTAACCAAAATCAAAAACCTCTGAGGAAATGTGGTTGACTTGACGGATATCCGTTAATAAGTCAGTCTATAGCCAAATTGTTCAATTACTAACTTAGACAGAAACCGATCAAAATGCAACCCGAAGATATCAATAATAAGTTCCTAGGACAACTACAGGATACAGTCCGATCCTGTCTTGAAGTTGTGTCTGTTTTGCTATTAATTTGTAGTATAAACCAGTAGTAAACTAAATATGCAGGCATTTAAAATGCGATTTTTTCGCCTTCAAATATCGCTTCACGGCGTCATCTCCATTAAAATATTTATGCAGGAAAGCCAGCCAACCGTCGACGATTTATGTCTGGGAACTAAGTACTTGATATGCGATGGCGATTCGAAATCGCAGACGGGCAGTTCAGTGCCGACAAGGCTGCACATAGCTGTACGGCTATATTGCGATGGCTATACTAGAACCGGACTGTCCGGGGCCTTGACAATGGCAATGAGACCGTCGGACTCGTGTGTTGACATCGATTGGCACGGCGGGCGGGGGGTGGGCGGTGCCTTTCGGGTCGAAGGCCACCGCCACAACTACGGCAAACTTTTTCCAACCGAGTTCGAGTTCAAGTCGGCAGAACAAAAAATAAACGTGAATGTCGTTAAGTTGAGGTAACCCACGTGTTGTCCTTGCCCGTCGCTGGATATGTGCAACAAGCCATCAGTAAGGTGTGGGCCTGGGAACCGGGCCAGGTGTCCCTGTCTGTATGTTTGTTGTGGTTGTGGCTGTGGGAACTAAAAAGCGGCTCACAATGGTCACTGGATAGGCACACAAAACTCCAGGCATCCTTGAGGCAATCAACGAAATTATAGAAGAAGTAGAAAAAGTTTACGACAACTTTCAAACATAAGAGCTGAATGTTTTAATCCGGCCAACAACTGTTCAAAGCTGACTGTTCTTTTTTTGTTGACTAGCTGGACTTATTTTTAAAAGTCATGGCAACCCAGGGAAAATATAGTACAGTTTAACCACAAGTTATAAATTTTATTATGTTTATGTTGCCTTGGCTTTTTAAAATAAATCCAGTCAGTTAGACAAAAATAAAATATTCAAAAGGTCTCAAGGGAAAGAAATTGCTGTAAAGTAGTAATTTTTCCCAACATTACTAAATTAAAAGCTGAATATATCTGTTAGCCATGTCAATAGCACCACACTGTGATATTAAGCCCAATTTAAGCACCCCAAAGTATTTTAAAAATCGCAAAAATAGCCAAGTCGCCTTTCAGGAAAGCAACGTGAAAATAAATCAAGGTTGCCCGCAATTTACCAGCCACGAATAAATCAGTGGCGTCATAAATTACTATACTGCCATTCAAATAAAGCCGTAAACACTAAATTATCGCACTCTGGGGACATTTACCAGCACTTAAGATTGTCAACAACACCCATTAGCATGTGATGCGATCCGCAGGCAAACTTAATTCAAAGTAACGAATTGAATTGCTCAAACTAATTATTGGAGCGTCCTACGCAGCTGGGGCAACATCGGGGTTAAGGAGGGTCCTTGGGGTTCCGAAAGGGGTTCCGTATCCGTGTCCGTGCTGGCGACTGATTTATGCTTGCAGGCGTCGCAAAAGCATTCATCCATCCTGGCACCAACAGTATATCCTTCAACTTGACCACCATGGACGTCGGTTTGGGAGGAGGTCGGTCGGTTCTTCATATTGCGGTTCCATACGGCTGGATGTGAGTGTGCGAAGTGTCCTTGTCAAACACTAATGGCGTCGTCGCCATCGCCTTTGTCCTTGCCAGCGTGTTAATGTGCGACAGTTTCCTGCCACGACGTTTCCTCCAAGGGGCTAAAATCGAATTGAAAGGCAGCATTTTAAAATTCCCCGTTTGTTTGTGCGGGGTAAAGCAATTGAAACATGTTTCCGGCCCGCCGTGAATTTGATCCGTCTCCTTTGGCGAAAACGAATTGAAAGCCAGGACATCTGGCCGAGCTCGCATGAGGTCCCTGGGGTCAACAGAAAGGCTGCATTTGCGCCTGCACGCCTGCTTGATTTATCCTTTTCTCTGACTCGAGTTCTTTTTTGCAGAATTTATGCCTGTGCAGTTTTCCATCGATTTTCGTCTTGCGCCACAACGGACTGGGGATGAAACACCAAACACATAAAACGGATTTGATATTAAAAAAATATGCAGGTAAAATACGTACCATATAAGAACGTTGGGGTGGACTAACGCAAGAGCAAGTCTGAAAAATATATGCTATTTTAATTTTGTTTTCTGCCGTAACGTAGCTTATAATAAAATGAATTAATTACTTATAAAAAATTGTTATATTAGACTGTTCAAAATGTTCTAGGATATTTCAATTATTTTATGAGTGTGCTTTAATTATAAAGTTTAAGCACAAACCAACTCCCTTGCGATTACATTAATTTTCTGACACTAAAAAGTTACTGTTTAGAACTACACTGCGTTGAGTGATGAAACTGAAGAGCGGTTTTACGTATTAGTTTTTCTCATAGGCAAACTTTAATCACAAGCACAACAGTACGTATGAGTGATAAGTTTAGGAATAACCTGGCTTTGATCATAATTATAAGTTAGGGTAAACACAATTGTTTAACCTTAAAGAAAAACTGCTACATTTCAAAAAAGTTCAATCTACGTTTACCTTTTTCCTTTTACTTTTTACTTAACTAAAATCGGTAAAACATTTGTTCATTATTGTTTAAAATTTATTAAAAAGGGTATTTTTGAAATATAACATGTTATAAAACAAGGATAAAAAGTTCATTTTAAAGAATTCTTTGGTTCAAGTTTTTTTACGCCGCTCTGATAAGACATTTTAAAGGCGATACTAATATCTCAAGAATTCGCGTTTTGTATCCAAATAGTATCTACTTTTGAATTTGACAACGATTTCTGAACGCCGAACAGCGACAAATAATCAGAAACAAAGAACATAACTTTTCATACCCAAGTAAAGGAAATAATCTTCTGGTATTCTTTAGTATTCCAATTTATTAAGGCGCTCTAATGTGATATTTCGAGGGACACATTAAGATCTGAAGAATTCGTGGCTTAAAATTTGTTAGTTTTCTATTCAAAAGAGTGTCTGTTTCTGAATTTGGCAACGAGTTCAGGGCCATCCCAACCACACGTGCTGCCAATATGGTGCATAGGAGTCGAAATCACCGAGCACCGAGCGCCAAACAGCGAACACGGCGACAAACAACGGCAAACAATGGCTTGCCGCGACTGCGGCTTATCGGGGCATGCAACATGGCGGCGGCCAAGTCACGTCTCAGCCGGCTGAGCTGCCGTTGCCGCACGGCAGTTGCCATTTGTTAGCGGAAAACAACACACAAGCCTGTTATAATACAGACACACCCGCCCGCTGACGTGCATACAAATTGCGAAATGAGGAACTCAAACAAGCGGCAAGTGCCACAGTTTAAATTGAAAAAATAATTCGCGAATTTTGCCAAGGTCGGTGTTGATGGTCCAAATGGAGATAAAGAGATGTTGCATCCTCGCCAACGCAAATATTTATCGGCACCGCACGAAAATGTCAAAGGCAATTGCTCTTCCCCGAAACAAAGAGCCACGCAAGTGCGTAAATTAAATTACACCAGCAAACGCGTACCTGTTGCGGTCAATTAATTTTAAATTACCAGCAGAGCTCCTAAATTATTGGGACTTTAAATCGGAAACGCATCCCACATGCAACAGTTGAGTTATTAAATTATTCAGATTTTCTATGCCCGATACACATGATCTTATTTGGAAATAAAACAAGCAAACACTATTTATGTCAGATCAAAAATCATTCAATTATAGTTAGGCCATTTGAAAATGGGGGTTTCTATCTAACGAATAATTTCCGTGACCTTTTGCTAAATAAATAAAAAACTTAATCAATAACTGTTTAATGATATAATGTAACTAATTTAATCAATAAAACATTTAAATTTGATTAATTTAACAATTGAAACTGCCACGTTATTTTTTGTCGAGTCAAACTTTTGATTTTCCGCTGCTTGCAGCCATTTAAATGACACTAGTAAACAACATCAAGCTCTTCACGAACCAAGCCAATTAGCGGCTTTCATTTATTCGAGTAACTATTATACGAAACACATTTGCTTATTTATTAACATAGTTGAAGTATCCCCTCTCAAAACAGAACACAGAAAAACCGGTTAAACTGAATAATTCAAAAATCAAAAATTAAAAGAACACGAAGCACTTGAGGGGAGTTGGTTTATAAATTTATTTGATAAATTATGAATTTATTTTAATTTAATACATTTATTTAAATCTATTATTGTGCATTTAATTTTTAAAATGTATAACTTTTTCCGCCACAATAAATCCACACTTTTGTGTGGCGAATCAATACAGTGTCGGAACAAAAAACATTGAACCAAGAGTAAATACGGAATTAAAAAAATACCTCAAGTGAGGTACACATGTACACAACTTTTGTGCATCCAAACCGGGTTTGTTTCCCATTTTTGCAGCCATGCAAACAACCTTAATGAACACCCACATCCACCTGTGCGCCAGAAAAAAGGCAATTAATCAATCCGCGTTTGCACTTTGCAGAAACAAGAAAAAAGGCGCGAGCTGCGCCTGAAGCGATTCTGGCGCTCCCCCAAGACGACGTCCTCGGAGGACTCCACCGGCTATGAGAGTCCAACGAGGACCAAGGCGTCCAGTGCCGGCGGCAGCAGCGATGCCCAGCGCTTTAACCACCTGCACTACACCAGCCTCTCGCAGGGATCGGGCACCTCGTCCTCGGCGGGCGGAGCCACTGCGTCCGGAGCGGGGCCGGCGCCTATTGGGCCCTCCGGCAACAACAAGCCCTCCTGCTCGCTGCCACTGCTGCAGGTGTGGCCCAGCCAGGTAGGCACTTGTCTCCCCATTTCTGGTTCTTTCTAGCACACGGTTGAGGGAAAAACACGTTCCAAAATAAGGAAGTTCCCATGAAATCCCCTTTTAATATTTTATTACAGGATTCAAAACATTATTCCGCTGCCCTAAAGTATGCAAATAAATATTTTTGACATCCACCAAATAATATTATGACACTTAATCCTAATAAAATGAATTGAATTCCTTAAAAAAAATTTCTTCTAATGACTTACATAGGTTCCCAAACTTGAAACCCATTCAAATCAAATCTGAAAAATCATATATGTTAAATCATCCATAATTTTGGAACGTGTTTTTCCTCCCTGTGTATGCCAGCAACATAGAGTCAAAAGAAATCGTAGACCAATATATGTGTTTGGAGAAAAAGCAACCGCAACAGTTTAAAAATTGGGGCTTTTTAGTTTTACGTTCTGTTTTTTGGAACCACTCGTACGCGAGTTGTTTTTATGCTGTGGCCAGTTGTGCGTTTTTGCGTTAATTTGTTTCTCCGACTCTCTATTTCTTCCCACTACACCAACACCACCAAACCCCACCAACACCACCAAACACCACCAACACCACCACCCGCCTCCAATACATACATACCCCCCTGTGTGTGCGTTGCGTGTTTGGCTCGGTTATGGCCATGGTTTTGGTTATGGTTTTGGATTGGTTTGGCCTTGGTTATGGTTCTGGTTCTGGTTCTGGTTATGATACTGGCACCGGTTCGGTTTTGATTGCTGGTCTGTTGTGGTAGCCGCTCCTGCGCCAGGAGGGCTTCGTTCAGTTGCGTCGTAACAGCGGCCCCGAGGGTCAGCGGGTATGGTTCCATCCAGTTCCTCTTTTTCCAGCCTCTAGTCTGCTCCACTTCTTTTCTCTACTCTCTATCCAACATATGCTACTCGTAACTCCCTAGCTAGACTTTTTGCATGCCTCGATTAACAACTTGAAAAGCCTCCAACGAGCTCTAACCGTTTTTGACTACTAACTGTATAAATCTGACCACAGTACCCATCTTGTTGAGGTTATTTTGTGTACTCTACACGTCTTTTTTACCTAGATCTCGTTATTCATGTAATACTATTGGGAATTTTTCGCTAAAAAATATTATTTTTCATGCACCATTTTTGGCAAGGGTTGGTCGACAAATGCCAGGGGAATGCGGTTGAAATTGGCTGTATGCCACCAAATTGATTTCATTTAAGCTTGATTTTTGCGCTGGTACACCATTGCCTGTTATAGATTGGAATTTTAAAATTAAATTCTCGCCATTAAATAACTTAATTAAACATTAAAATAGTTTTAAAGCCCCGTGATTTCAATTCCAGTTCAATTAAGGACCTGTTTATGCTGATAAAAAATAAGTCTTTTTAGTCATTTTAGTCATTTTAGTTAATTTTTATTTATGGCTGATAAAAGATTTCAAAAATTTTAAAAATATTTTCTCAGCTTTTTTAAAAAGATAAGATTAGAAACGTCTTAAAATATCTAAAAAAAAGGTATAGCCTTGCAAAACAAATTAAAAACATTAACCTATTTTTAGTAAAAATAGTTTTACGAATTTTTCACAACTTTGTAAATAGTTTTTGATCCATTTATCGGAATCTTCCTTCTCTTGTCGATCGACCTTGCTCTAACTTACCCAAAATCACCTCGAGTAAGTAAAACCCACGACCCAACACTTCTCCCTGTACAAAATGCAATCCCCACCCCGAAATACGTTTTTGAACCACCTAACTAACCAATTCACCACCGAGAATAAGTCACTCCCCCGAAAGCAGCGATTCCCACACTGCACTTGAGAACCGGCTTGAGAACTCCCCGAATCCCCCAAGTATCCCACAATGATATATCCCGCGGGATGCAAATGTAGCCTATCTTATATGTGCTCTGGACTCTTGCAGGATTCGCCGCGCGGCGAGGCGGATGGCCAGTCCTTCGTGTTCCCCGCCATCGTGGAGACGAGTGTCAGCAGTCCGGTGGCCGTGGAGGTGGCCAGCGGGAGCGGCAGTCTGGGGAGCACCAACCTGAGCCTCAACGCCAGGAGGAGCACCAACCACCTCAGCCTGTCCACCGACCGGCGGAGCTCCCTGTACTGTGATACCCTGCACGCCGGCGACTCCGGCATCGACTCGGTGCAGGCCTCGCCCTCGCCGAACGCCTTCATAGCTCCGCCGGGGGTGCACAGCCTGCCGCTGGGCCAGACCGGCGGAGGCTCCTGCCACGTGTCGCCCACCAGCACGCCCACCCAGGGGTCCCCCAATCTGTCCCTGGGCCGCCGGGGCATGCGGAACAGCATCTGCGTTGTGCCCAGTGGCAATGGGCGACGGAAGTCAAGTGCCCTGCTGCATCCGGACCACGCACGGCTCTTCGCCCTGCGGATGAAGCACGCCGCCGCCCTGGAACGGGCGCAGACCTCGCCCGACCAGACCTCCATCGAGGACGCCAACGAGTTCCACGACAACGGACTGGCCACCAATCTGCGGCTGTGCTCGGCCTCCTCATCGACGACGTCGTCGCTGACATCCGTGGCCGCGGTCAGCCTGGGCGGCGCCGGGGGTCCGGGTGCGAACACCACCTGCGGCTCCTCCTCCGGCTCCGCCTACGCTGTGGGCGCGGCGGGCGTCCAGCAGCGCGTCTCCGATCCCTGGCTGCAGCCGCAATCGGACAGGGAACGGGACTCCCGGCACGATGGCAGGCGCAGGTCCTCGACGATGACCGCTCGCTACTCCCTGTTCGACGCCCTGGACCTGGAGTACGTGCTCTTGAGGGCCGCCGCCCGGGGTTCCGTGGGTCCCTACAGCCTCAGCGAGTCCATACACAAGCTCACCTTCACCCAGTCGCTAGCTTTTCCGGCCCTGGCTCGCGGCCTGGCCACCAAGCGGAGGAGATCGGCCACGCACACGAGCTCACGGCCGCTGAATCCCCATGAGTCCGGTCTGAATACCTGCGCCAAGGTGGTCACCGCCGTCGTCCTGGTGGCCCTGTCCTTCATGGTGTTCCTCATCGTCTACAAGTTCGTGCGGACGTGAGGGTTGCTCCTGGCCCCGGCGCCAGAGCTCCCAGTCACATATCAGGCCAACTATGGAGCGGAGGAGGGGTCTTCGGCGTCCTCCGTCATCTCGTCGGCGGGCCGCAGTCTGGGGAAGCACATGTCGGGGTTCAGGAGCAAACTGGGTCTGCGTCAGCCCGACTTTGAGTGATCCTTGAGGAGAACGGTGGGACAGGCATTGAAAAGCGCTGGTCAGCAACATTTGTAGTACTTTAAAAGTTTCGATGTTATTGTTTCTTTTTAAAAAAGCAAAGGCGAATTCCATTATGCGGATATTCCACGGGATTGTTCGAAACATTCATCAGGGAATTATTTTATCATACTATATGATTTTACGAGCGATTTTTAAGTGCGACCCAGACAGCTCAAATTTAATGAGAAAAATTGTAACAACCGATAGGCACTTCTTGTACTCTAAGGGCTTGTGAAGAAATTACTTCCCAAGATGATAAAGCCTAAAGTGACCAAGCATTCTTATCCAAACAAACTCTAATGAGTGAGTTAAATAATGCCGTGAAATAACCGCATTAGAAATGTTTAAACTGAGACAGACAAATCTAAAAAATAGGAGTTCGTTAAATAAAACATTTATTTTTAAATCTCAACAGCTATTTTGTTTAAATTTAAATGACTTTAAATGTGAAGGCTACGAATTTATCTAATTTTTTTTGAGGACTTAACATTTCTGAGCACTGATTTCTCAATGTCATGTTTAGGTTCTACTTCGTATCTGACAGTGTTAACATGAAGTTAAATGGTTCGGAAGGATAAATTGGTTTTCTTCAAGTCATGTTCATTTTATGTACAACAAATCTGTACATACAGTCTCTCATCACAAGAATCAGTGGAAAATACGGTTAGAATAAGCTGAAGTTGTGACTACCGACAAACTTAACAAGAACGTTACCTCTTATGAAGAGTTTATTATGAAAAAAATTATTTTAATCGAATTTCAGGGAGCTCTTTTTACAGTCACTTTAATTTTAATTACAACGTACAACTGAAATCGAAACCATTATTGAGTACCAAAAAGTAGCTGACCGGTGCAATTTTTGTGATAAACTATCAATGAAGCAAATTTCCACAAAAGAAAAAAACACATACACAAAAGTGAAACAAAAATGTAAGTTAATGGAATAACAAATTAAAGGCTTAAACATTTAGTAAAAACAGCTTCAAGAGGCTTGCCAGAGTTTCATCAAATTTATAATATACTTATGGATATGAATATTTTTTTATAAATATAAAAAGTCGCTGCTCGCATTTCCTAGGCTCCTATTTAGCAAAGATTTTTGGAAAAAAATCGGAATACAGTTTCATTGTTTGCAGTTGAAGTGCCTAACTAATTTTTTAAAAGTATTAAAAATTACATTAGAATTCTGCTTACTTTTGTTCTCTTCTTAAAATCGAATTTAGAAATTGGCAGCTGCTTTAAAACTGAACTGTTTTTGCGCTGCAGTAGTCCAAAAAGAATTTCCCAGTAGATAAACTTTTTTGAAGGGAATATATATTTAGGTGGAGGAATTGGGAGGATTTGTACTGACGGGCATTTAGTTTTGCATCTTTAATTTTGGTTGACACTAATACGATAATTTCAATCAGTCCTTGTTAGCTGATAGATTTTAACTTGAACGAAGAAACTATCATCCAAAGAATATGTTCTGTTACTTTAAGTTATCTTTTATTAATTAAACAGATTTGTATTGTCTAATATCAGTATCTTTCAAAGTGTTTAATTCTGTTTATAAATACAAGGGAGCTCCTGTGTCAATTGAAAATGCAAAAGCAATTTCTTATCTTATTATCCATGTTAACCAATGCTTAGCCCATCTCTTCAACATTCCCCACAACCCCCAAAATACCATTTTAGTGTTGAATTATTGGCATTAGTTTTAAGGGTCAGGAATATTGGCAGACGATTAGAAGCCTACAAATAAACAAATAATTTGTACTGACTTGTAAGACGACTAGATGATGGCGGAATGATATGATTAAATGGAAATCCAGGCATATTAAATTAACATATTTATGGTAGCTATATATAGTTATACAAGCAAATAGATATGTATATGTATACAGGCATTATATATATGTATATGGGTGTTTATAAATGTATACCTAAGCGGCTTAAATGTGACAAAGCACTTGCTGAAATACCAATACAAACTCTCTACTCTTAACTTGCTGCCTTACTTTCCTCTAGTGAAAATAGTTGAAACGAAAACAAGATCGATGAACAAAGTCCCGACTAACAAATTCTTCATAAATTGCTGCCTTACTTTCCTATACGAACTAAAAAGAAAATCGAACAAAGACCTTTTGAAAGAATCCTCTTTAACTCTCAGAGCTTTTTTCTATTTCCTCTTCGAGCTTGGCCTACCAACCCAAAAATATGCAAAAACCAAAAACATTTTATATAGAGTAAACAAATATATACTAAATGTAATGTTAAATAATTGATATTAATATTAAAGCTGGCTAAAGGATAAACATTTTGTTGCATAAGTATAAGTTATTCCTTCCTCTCTGTTTTGCATAAATAATTTCAACATTTGTCGATGGCATTCATCAATATTTATGCATAGTTTTACGACCTTCTCTTTTTCGTTACGATTGGTGTGCAACCAACTATGGTTAAATAAAAAATGCATATTAAATGTGACACAAACAGAAATGAGAAGAAATGAAAAACCAACTGTAACCGTAACTGAAGCAAGTTGAAACGTGCAACAATAAAAGGAAGAAATTTTCAAATAAACCATTCCGTCTGTGTTTCCTTTCCCTTTGTGATTTCGTGAATGTTACGGGCGAGCATTAAATTGAAAATGTTACATTTCACTATCGCATTTACGTCTCGATTTTCCTACGGCTTCCGGGAATTGCCAATAACTAATTGAGAGTGACGTGGCACGGAGAACCGGAGCTAATGAAGATGATGATGATTTATGGAGGGCTTCGATCCTCAGAGGAAGAAGTCGAAGCATAAATGCTGCTAATGGATGCGAATTAAAGTTGTAAGTTGAGAGCTACAAGAACGTACTTCGATTTATGGGGAAACGACGTTAAAAGTATTTAAAGCTTTTCCTTATTGAATTTCTGCCAAATAAACATATATGCATATATTAAGGACCAGAAAAAAAACGGTATTTTATAAGAAGAGGTAACTTCTAATAAATAAAATATTTATTTATTACATAATATTTAAAATTTAACACTAGAAGAGGTAATTTCTAATATTTATTTTATATATAACATTACCTATTTAACACCATTTTTATTTAATAAAAGCTAACTTCTAATAAATAAATAATTTACTTTTTATATTTTATTATTATTTAACACCATTTAAATGTATAATAATTATATGTTCAAAAAACCACATGAATCTTTATTGACTAACTGACCTGTTTTGCGTGTACAAAAAGTCCATTAAAACTGAAAAGGCTTACTAAATTCTCAAAAGAAACCAAATAAGTATGGATTTTAGCAAGTATTGATTATTTTCATCCACACATAAATTACGAACACGTTCAATTCTTAGCCGTCAAGCAAATCGAATTATTTTTGTTTTAAAACAATTTTAATTGAAGCTCTCGAAGTCTTTAATTGCACTCAATTAAAGATGAATAATAAGCAGCTTCTGATTGCACAAAGTTATAGATGTATGGTAAGGAAGGCTTGAAGCACTCATATTTCTTTATTTCACATATAACCCATTTAATTAATTTGATTTTAATAGGGCAGCTATTAACTGAGCGAAAAGAGTCAAAAGTTAAACAATTAGCTGTTATGATTATTTCAGCAGCCAGTTAAAAAGATATTCTGTTCAAATATTAATCAAGCCGTTCAGTTCACATTCATTAAAAAATCATGCCGTGTTTGAAGAACGAACCACTAATAATTGAATTGTCAGTGAGCTGGCAGCGTTGCATATTTACGCAATCGATTTAACGCAGATTGATGGGCCGCAGGAACTTTACAAATGGCAGGAAATAAGTTGTTTTGGGAACTTTGCCCAGTTGAGAAGTGCCTCCCCACTCCAGCCTCCCATTTGGCCAAGCAATCACAGTTGGAATTCGAGAAATTCGCAAAGTTCTTCGGGCTTTGTGATAAATCGGGCTGTCGTTGGTTGTCTTTCGGGCAAGTTGCTAATCTAAATAATTAAGCAAGCCAAATTTGATTTGCCAGGGCAAGTGTACACCCTCATATGGGCATGTAACACCCACAATTCTGTGCGTGTGTTGCCAACTAATTTAGCCATAAAGGGCAAAGCGAACCCGACGGCCAGTCGAAATGGAATGAAAACACTGACTGACTGAGGGCAGGGCAAAGGACATTTGGCACAGATTGCCAGAACTGGGCCAGAGCATTTGACGAAAGCCCGGCAGGATTTAAGGAACTGGGGCCGGAAGAATCCATTGCCAAATACACACATATGGTGTTCGGGGGATGGGGTCTGGTCTGGTGCATAATTAAGCACGCAAACCGCAGAGAAACAAAAGTAAAAGCCCCAAAACGGAATCAGTGGCTGTGGACGGATCCATAACAGGGTAAATACAATTTCCAGGACCTTCGATTGCTCCTGGCCGGATATACTTTTATATATGTGCATTTGTATCGCACATCGCGTATACGCAGTGTGTGACCAGCGGGGAACGAGTGCGTAACAATTGCCCAAATAATTGAAATGAAATTTTAAACGATTCACTGCATCGAAGCGGTCCGAAATGGTGACTTTCGATTTTAAGGCTCTGCTTTTGGTTGCATTAAAAGTATTTCAACAGCTTTTGCTTGGCTGCACAGGGAAAAAAGACTTTACGAAGCCTTAGTTAATTTAAACCAGTCAATTTTGAATATTAAATAATGTGTAATACATTTATTTTGTTTAAGTTTGCCAGGTCACTTTATTTAATATTCCAAGGCTTTGGTTTGTTTCAATATTCTTATAAAAATATTTCACAAATCTTTAATTATTCAGTATTAAAATACCAAATAGTCATTAATCAATGTATTTTATTTTATTTTGCGTGGTCACTATAATGAATGTTCCAAGGTTTTGGTATTTTTAATCATTTTTAATATTATTAGAAAAATATCTTACGAAACTTTAATTATAATTAATTAATTATTTAAAAGCATTGATAAATTATGATTTATTTATTTATTTTATTTTAGCTTATCTGGTCACTTTATTGAATACTGTATTCCAAGGTATTGATTTATTTATTGTTATAAATAAATAACTGCTCAAAAAGTGCATGGATTCAAAGTAGAATATTTCAATATTTCCCGAACCCATTATGACAATAATAACAAGCGATTCCCAGTAGATTTTTAATAACAACTATATACCCAATTTTTCACATGTGCCTGCTGCTGCGTCTGTGTTGTATTTGTACCTTTTGATACGCCTGGGCCGAGTATTTTTAGCCCTCAAGGTTGCCAGAACATCGGATGCTCATGCGGATGTGGATGATTTGAAAAGTGGTAGGCAACAGTTAGCAGGTGGGTGGTGGGTGGTGAACCTTTTCAGAGGTGCAGGAAGGGGGTTGAGCACACACGAGCCGCCGCCTTGAGAACCACCGCAAATGCACCTGTTTTATTTTATTTCCCCTGCCTTTGTGTTGAAACTTGTTGCAAATGCGAGTTGTAGCTGCAGCGAGCATCTGTCGAGGCCTTGACTCTGACTGTGGGTGTCCTTGGATTTCGGATTGGGGACCTTGGGCAGGAATTGAAAATTTTGTCGGCCTGCTAAGGTCTCAGCAAGAGCAATATATTCGGCCTTTTTTTGGGAACGAATGGCCGAGAGGAGTTTGTTCCGAACTAGGAATAAATGCATGCAATCAAAGAAGGAAATTATATGTGCATACATTTGTGTGCATCCGGGCTATAAATTTTGATTGCTGGGAAACTTCAGCAAGATTCTTGGCCAAATCTTTACAAGTCAAGCATGTGAAATCATTTAGCTGTTAAATCAATTTCAGAACATTCCATTCAGCAAATTGGTATATGAACCAAAAGGGTTAAGAGGTAACATCTCTTTAAACTAGAAATACTTTTGTTTGTCTGTTCATCAGACTATTTCTTAGTAATACACATAATTGACAAGCGTATTTTATACCCTCGTATTCGCCTTGAAGAGTTGGTACTCCTAATTTGTTCTCGAGGCTGCCATTCCGTCGGTTTGTAAAATTAATCGTTTACACAATCTATTTAAACTCCAACTAATTTTCTAAAATGTTATTTCCTTTTAATTTAAAAATAATGTTTTTACGTATTCCACGTATTTACCTAAGCTTATTGTCTCCGTTTTGTTTTAAATTTATTCACCCCTGAATTATTGAGAATAAACCCAATCGCGTTTTCGAAGCCTTCGCAAAAGGTCAAACTAAATTAGATTTAAATTTTAAATTTCGCACACGATGAAAGTAATTTGCCTACAAATTTTGCAAATGATGATCCGCCAAATTGAATGAAGGAGGCCTTTGTGGATGGGGACGCCAGCCAATTAGGGTGGGGAAGCCGAAGCCTTGCGCAGACCTTTTGCATTTCAATTAAAAATGATTAAAGATACACAGCAAAAGGTTAAAAGGCGCGCATGCAGCACAAAATTTGTTGCGGGCAAATAACTTTCAAGGGGAAAGGAAAACAGCCAACAGGAAAAGCAGTGGAGGCAGAGCTGGAAAACTGTCACACACACACTCGAGCAAACAGATAAACAGTTAAGATTTTCCTGGCCATATATTTTTTTGTGGTTGCATATTTTATGCAAACGTAGGCCCAAGGATTGGAGGGACAAGTGGGGCCTGCAACCATGGAAATTAGTTTTGCTGACTGCAAAGGGAAGGAAAACAAATGCGGATACGCTTTTTTTACGAGCTAAGTCGGAAACTTGAAACTTCAGTGCAGCAGAAGCCAAAAGCACAAGGAAGGAACTGAAAGAAAAGCGCGTGCAGTGGGTTTTCCCCGCCTCAACGCAATCGGAAAAAATGATCGAAAAGTGGAGGGTCGAGAGGAAGGAAAAGCGACACAGTGTCTGGATGTCGACGCATGTTTCTGGCTCCGTACTTCCTTTCCCCGTTTTTGTTGCTTTTTAACAATTCTTTTATGATTTCCTTAATATAACTTGCAGGGTAAAAAAAAGCTTAAAAGTAAATTAGGTCTTTAACATGAATATTTATCAACTGAAATTAAATTTGTTTATTGTCTTTAGTAATTTTAAAACATTGTTTTCTCATCTTAAAATGGGTTCTATTTCAATAAACATTAATTTTACACTAATTCAATAAAAAATCAATAATGATTTACTAAAAATAATTTTACTTTGTTATATACATAAATACAATAATTTTAAAACAAGAAAGAACGCTGTAATCGATGGCTTCCACTATTAGATACCTCTTACGCAGCTAAGGGTAGTGCGAGGGAGATGGATATATGCATGCAGTAAATAGGCTGTTCCCGCTTGCACACTTTATTTGCTTATAACTTTTTAATAAATCGACCGATTTTAATAATTTTTGGTTTTATATTTAAAGATTTTTTGGTTATATATTTTTTTCTCTGTACCAGAAATAAAATCACAAACAGCAGCAGCCGAAATGTCTGCAATTTCAATTCGACAACATATGTCTCCCTCTGTCATTTTTTCAATTTGCCCTTGGCTAATGTGTTGTGTGCCCTGTGCTTTCTTTTAATGAATTTTAAATGTAATACATGCACTCAAACTGGTGTCTTAATAAGCACTTTGCCGGGCACAACTATTTGCAAATTCAATGCGAGGCGGGCGAATAAGAGGAGATTTTCCCGGGTCCAAGTTCGTCCTGCGACTGACAGCTAATTGAGCTCAGCCTGCTCCTTACGGGCTATTTTACGGCCCCAAGGAACCCGCACAAAGGCCGCACACGCACACACCTGAGCCTGGAACTGAAGCTTAACCTGAAATCGGGCCTGAGTCTCAGGTCCCGACTGTCCGCCCACTCTCGTAAGACAATTATGAAATGCGTTTTTTATAGCCCTATTATGGCCGGGGTTCTGGGCCGTTTGGGGGGACAACGGGCTGCCGGGCCATGGCACACAATCGGGCTTTGTTATATGGCCAAGATCGCTTTGTCTCGGCCTGCCGTTGATTAAAAATATACGTGCTTGCTGCTTACATAACAATGTCTTTTGCTTTAAGAAAAAACCAATTTGTTCCTAGTTGAAGTGATTAAATTTCAAATGTTGAGACGAAAGTCTACGCCCAAGATGGTTAATAAAAGGTAATTCATCCTAAGAAGCTTACGAAGTGCTTTGTTTCAGCAAATTTCAGAGAAATGCAATGTCTTTTTTAACAGAAATGTTTACTCACTAATTAAAACTAAAGATAACACAATAAAGTTGACTAAAAATTCAGCCTGAATGCATAAAATGTCAATACATTTCTGCTCATATCATTTCATGCGTTTCTCTCTGTTGTCAACATACAAAAGTTCTGATATCAAATTTTGTGATGAAAAAGTTTTAACATTCGACTTAAAATACTTTTTGAAATGTTTCATGAGTTTTAACGCGTTTTCTCAGAAGGAATCTTAAACCATGCACCCCCACTAGCACCAACAGCTAAAATTTTCATAATTTTTATTTTTACACTTTCAGAGCGGTGAAAGTGTAAAAATAAAAATTATGAAAACTCCCAAGCCAGTGATTTTCTTAAAGTCTTCTTATGCAATCCATTAAGTTTTGCGATAGCCTTCGATCAGGTATCACTCGCTAAGTCGGGCTTTCGCAGCAGATTTTTAATTTTGCGGCTACAATGGGCAAAAAGTAAGTTGAATTCGTACTACTAAAAAGTAAAACATTTGACCTGAGAAACTCCACTATGCACTTCAAATTTTTTTTTAAACTGGACCTAGTGTACGGTTTTGACAATCACTTTATAAACAAATGTTTTTAGTTAAAATTGCATTTATATGTAAACATGTAAAAATCAAGAAGGGCTGAACAGTTGTAAAGAATTTAACTTACTTCATGATTTTTTACTAATAATTACGTTAATTACACGCCAGAGTTGCGCTCTACTTCTACGCTCCTTTTTTACTGATCATGGTGCAAGAATTTTTGCATCATGATTAGTAATCATGTGCGTTCAGCATAACTATTGTAAGAATTCCATCAGTGATCAGGTATCATTTTCTTCTGCTGAACGCGGCAATATGATCAGAAACAACGAAGCTAGATTTTAATATCCGTTAGGAAAAGGGAACAGATTCCACGGGTTCCTAAGAAGCGGAAGTTTGTCTTACCCACATTTTTGAAGATTTTGCAGATTTCTTTTGAAGGCTTTGTATTTAATTTAAAACAAATTAACTGGTATCTGATAGTCGGGGCACACAACAATAACGTTTGTTTCCGATGGGAGTTATAGGTTATAGTTAGTATATATACCTGCTGTAGAATGAATTTGTGAAAGTTTTTTCAGAATAGCTTTGAAACTAAGAGATTAGCTTGCGATTTAACACAAAAATGCTTTACTTATTTGAAACGATTCAAATTTTGAAACTAACGTATTCCAACTTCAAGACGCTTGCAACCCTAAAACTCTCGTCCGCAGCTTGCGATAGTTGGCATTTTGCCATCCCTCAAACGGTCACACTCCTTGGCGGCATCGTCTTTTACTACCAAGAAATAATTGTAAATTAGAAAAACATGCAGCACGAACCCGAAGAACAGACTTTCCAACTCCAGGCCCTGGAGATACGCGAACCAGATGGCAATTTTGATCCTAAGAAGCCGCCAGAGTCCGGAGAGGAGTACCTAATGCACATGTTGTACGAGAGGAAGCGATGTCCGGCGGTGGTGACCAAAAGATCGCCCAAAATCAGGGATAATGCGGGAAACAACACCTTTGAGATGCTGGATAATGTAGGTATGAAGTACACTGTATAGAACGGTTATTTAATTATTCGCATTACAGCCCGCCTTGCCGCCCTTTAAGTGCCTGCTGCCCACACCCGAATGGCGGGCCGAACAGGTGAAATCCTTCCAAGCAGCCCGCTCCCAGGTGCTAGTCCTTCGCATGGAGCTAGTCAACCACAACTACGACCAGTCCGGGGAACCCCCTTTGACCTCGGACCAGGACAAGTGGCAGGAATTCTGCCGTAGTCAACAGCCCCTCCTAAGCACTCTCCTCCATCTGTCCCAAAGCGATCTGGAACTCCTGCTGGAAAGGCTCAGCAAGTGGCTGCAGGACCCCGACTCCTCGGTGGACCTTCTCCAGGACGTCTGGCTAGCTCGCTGGCTGTATGCCACCTTGGTCTGCCTGCATCTGCCCCTGGAGCCCCATGTGTTCAGCACCCTTCGTTACATTGCCCGTTCCTGCATCCACTTGAGGAATCAATTGAACGCGGAGGAAGTGCAGCGATCAGCACCCTACAACCTATTGCTAACCCTCATTGTTCAGGTCTTTGCACAGAGTGATTTTAAGGATTACATTTAAGGTATTTAATTCTTTATTTCATTAAACCCTAATATAAGCACAAAATGACTGGATAGTAAGCCAAGAAGCTACTTTGTTAATTATGGTTACATCTTTTGAACTCAACAAAACTAATATTATCTTTATTATTTCCCTTTCTATTTCATTCTGAAGCGATACTGTTTTTAGTCATTAAATTAAATTAAAAGTGAAATTCAACCTATATAAGTTTACATTTTGTCACTAACTGAAATCACCCTATTTATATTGTTCTTAAGTAATTCGCCAAACAACTTTATTAAATAAAATGTCTCGTAAGTTGAAAACCTTGCATTCTTGGAAAATATGACTCGGTATTATATTTATTGCTTTTCAATTTATTTAATAAGTAGAAAACATGCGTCTGTAGGCTTGACAGATATCACAGCTGCTGTGGTGATCATCCAAAGGGTTACTACAACTGGACAAATGGCTGCACTGCGTCAACGAGGAGCTCTGGCTGAGACTACTTAGCTGAGTTGTGCTCGAACAGGTGGACAGCCGTCGCTCCAGCTGTTTCTGTTCCTCGGGGGAAGCTCCTCTCCATCCCGCATAGCTTGCACTGGGGCAACAATTGGATTTTCTGCCATGGCACACGGTTTGCTGCTTTCGGCGCTGGTCCAAATGCTCCTGACACCGGCTCTCCACGTGGCGGTTGACCGGAGGTGTCGACTCTTCTCTGAAACTGGAGCAACTGCAGCCCCTCCTTCGGTCCTGCGTGGTCAATTGCGCAGACAGCTCCACTTTTGGTGCCAGGATTCCGGGAAAAGCAGGCGTCCCCTTCATCAGCAGCTGGACATTGGAGCTGTGGGCGCAGCTCAATCGAGGAATAGTTGGCTGCATCACGTCCGAGAGACTTCCCACAAAGTAGGCCAGCCGTCGACCGTTCTGCCAGACGGTTATCTCCAACTGCTCAGCTTTCAACAGCTGATGCATATCCTCCAAGCATCCAACACTCTTGAAATACCCCTCCATGGTGAATTGGTCGTGGCACAGCATAGGAAACCGCGGCTCCATCGCCCCAGTTCGAAAGTAGTAGCCCAAGGTCTTGACGGTGGCCTCCAAAAAACCGTGCGAGCAAAGCCAAACGCCTGGACAGGTAAGCTGGAAGTATAAATAGCGTTGAAATCATAGGAAACCCACCGGTTCCACCACCAACCGCATGGAGTTGAAGGTCTAACTTCACATAGAATCTTTTGTGAGACATTTCTCTGCTGGTTTCAAGTGAAAGTCTGCTTGACTGCCGGAAAGGAGCCAACTTGTGGGTACTTGGGGATGGGTGCAACCGCGTTGTTCTTTGTTTTGGAGCCACTGGTTGCCGGGGCAGCGGTTAAAAGTGAAATTCAAAGTCGATTGCTTGTCGATAGCGTGAGCCAAGAGTTGGAGCAAAAGCAATCGAAGATATGGAGCTATTTTCCACAAAAATAAAAAGCTTAATCGACGAAGTAATTTTACCATTAAAAAATCAAATAAATAAGCAAAAGTAATTATAAATTAACAAATAGTTTAAACATTTAAGTACAAATACAAGGATAATTTATCAAGCTACCGCCTAAGCCATTGAAAATATTTTGAAAAAATGTATATAAGCTAAAATTATATTACATATTTAAAATCGTTATATTCACTTTATGTAATAATTTTTGTTTTTAAAATTTAACTGAACCGTTTAAAGAGAATTTTCAATTTTTAAATTTAATTCGGTTGAGGAACTTTTAGGTGTTCCCGTGCGAATCATCTATTTTTCACAGCAGGAAAATATGAATGCGAACGATAGCACACTCCAGAAAAATTGCTCATCACTAGTCTTAATAATAATAAATAAGAAATAACAAAGGTAACTACTACTTGTAGGATGTCAGCAATTACGGAAATACCTGTCCATCTACCAAAGCTGTTGGCACTGTTCAAAACAGTTGTGCCCATACTGTCCAACAATAAGTACAAGGGGCAGTATGGACGAATCGGCGTTATCGGTGGTTCCTTGGAGTACACCGGTGCCCCCTACTTTGCGGCAATTTCATCATTAAGAGTTGGGGCTGATTTGGCGCATGTGTTTTGCCATTCGAATGCATCAGCAATTATCAAGTCCTATAGTCCTGATCTGATCGTACATCCTGTACTGGATTGCGTAGACGCAGTTGAGAAAATAACCCCCTGGTTGGAACGGCTTCATGTGATTGTAAGTCCTTTTATAAGAAATCCTTAAGTTGTTCGAAAGTTCTAAATTTGGAATCATTTAAGGTTATTGGCCCTGGATTGGGCAGGGAACCCGGTATCCTAAAAACAGCATCAAACATACTCAAGCTTTGTCTAGATGTTCAAAACCAGTTGTTATTGACGCCGATGGACTGTTTCTTCTTAACGATAACTACGATTTGATTTGTGGACAGCGCAATGTTATTCTCACACCAAATGTCATGGAATTCCGGAGACTATTTGGGGAGGATATCAATGCGGCTCGCCAAAAAATGTCCTTGCTTGGCGATGGAGTCGTCATTCTCGAAAAAGGCGCCAATGACAAAATTTATATTTCTCAAGCCAACGAAGTTCACACAATGCCACTTGGTGGATCAGGTCGCAGATGCGGAGGCCAAGGCGACTTGCTTTCCGGATCCTTAGCAACATTTTTCTTTTGGTCGCTACAATCAAATGAACCTAGTCCAGCCCTTATTGCTGCCTGCGCCTCTAGTTATTTTGTGAAGAAGTTAAACCTAGCAGCATTTCAAAAGTTAGGACGTAGCTTGTTAGCGAGTGATATGGTAAATGAAATACCCGCAATATTTCAGGCTGAGTTTGAAAATAGTGACTCTCAATAAGTTTAATGTAACGACCGAAAAACTGACTGACGTTTTATATAGCAATATTTTGAAATTCCTTTTTCTTAAAAAATAATATTATTAAAAAGACCATTATCAGTGAGAGCGAGGGGTTTAAACCCCAATCTGTTACCTTATATTACTTTGTTATAATTGCAACTAATTTTGTTCTGTAACGTAAGAACATATGTTTTACAATTATATTCATTTGAGAACATGCAACGCATTTAGAATTTTAATAGAATTATATTTTGTAAAAAAAAAAGGGCAAAATACTTCGGTTACAATAAAGCTGTAAAAAGTGGTTATGGAACTGGTTTTATACACTGCAAAAAAACTGTTAAAAAATATTATGTAATTGTATTTTAAATTGGTAACATGATCGTCAACAGATTATTACGAGGACAAATAAAAACATAAAACATTAAATTACCTACTAGAATTATTTATAAGATTAGTGATATTATAAAATGTGATTGTATCTTTGTTAAGAAATTCGTGTCTTGGCGATTTAAAAGCTAGCCCGCCACAACTGTTCACTGGTGGGTGTTTTTTAGCACTGTTCTTATCGCGACCGGCATTTCCACGTCAGTTTTATTATTGTTTTCGAATTTATCGCTCTGCGAAAATGCTCCTCAAAGGGTTTCCTGTTATCCTGGGACTCGTAGTCCTGGTTCAGTTCACTAGGGGGGATTCCCCCGAAGAGGAACAGGGAGTTCGCTATGCAAACAGGTGCGAGGCCTGCAAAATCCTGGCCACCGAACTGGAGGCGCGTCTTGGAGAAACCGGAAAATCCCACGATGTTATAGAGATAGGATACTCGGTGGACGATGTGAAGCCCAAGAAGCGCACCGAATATCGCCGCAGCGAATTGCGACTGCTGGAATCCCTGGAGAACGTTTGCGAGCGGGTTCTGGAGTACAATCTCCATAAGGAGCGCTCTGACAGCACCAGGTTCGCCAAGGGAATGTCGCAGACCTTCCAAACCCTCCATGGTCTTGTGGACAAGGGCGTCAAAGTGGATCTGGGAATACCCTACGAGCTGTGGGACAAGCCTCCAGTGGAGGTCACCCAAATGAAGACACAGTGCGAAAATTTGCTGGAGGAGTACGAGGAAACCATCAGCGATTGGTACTTCAAGCACCAGGAAGAGAAATCCCTGAAGAAGCACCTGTGCGAGGACCATGTCCTCAAGAAAAAGGCAGAAAGAGAATGTCTCAAGGAGCAACTGGCACCACCAGAGGCGAAAAAAGCGAAAAAGGAAAAACCGAGGGCGAAAAGGAGGAGCTGTGAAGGAATTCGTGCCCTGTTATTATTTTGTATCGTGAAAAGTAGGTGAACTTTAGTATTTTCCACTGATCAAAGCTAAAAGTGTTTAATTAGTTTAAGTAAACTCACTGTTTCTCATTTTATTTGTAAAATCCTTCCACAACGACTGAGCCACAAAATGTTACTGACAGTTTCGCCTGGCCATTGGCTTATTGATTTTGGCCTCGAATTGGGGTCGACAATTAAGAGTTTACTGCCCCCAATGAGGTGGCCTGCTCAAACCACCGCCAGAAAGGCCAGGTGTTTACACCTTACCAAATTTATATTTGAGATTTCAAGCATTTCCCGGCAACCTCCGGCACCGAATCAGTGCCGTGTCAGTGAATTTGTATCAAAAACTTAGTATTTACTTTAAAATATAATAAATAATTGCAAAATAATTATTGTAAGTTGGTTTTTTTTCTTGGGAAGTTTTTCGTTTCTCCGTCTCAGCTTCAAAACTTCACTTTCTTAAATAAATAAAATGTCTTTTAGGTGTTGGTAATAAATACGTTGCGTATATTTAAAAGTAAAAAATATTGTTATAATTGTAATTGGATTTTTCATCTTTGAGTTCTAGTTTGAAATCGCTACAGGGATCTCCTAATTATAGGTTTGTTCCACCCAAACGAGTTTTGTAAAGTCTAAAACTATTTCGAGATGGCGGGTGCAAAAACCCCTTAGATATTTATCAGCTTAGAGCTTCATCACGTCCCAAGGATCGTCCATATAGTGCAAAATAGGTTTCTCATGCAGTCTATCGCCAAAAACCTCCCGTAGCAGCCGCAAAACGCGTTCCTCGATGAATGCCACCTGATCCTGGGGACAGTAGTCGTCCTGTGCAGAATGGGCCATCGTAATGGCCACTGGAGGAAATGGTAGTCGTTCTAAAAATCTCTTGAAGTTTGCAAAGTACGTCTCCAATTCCTCGGAGGTGCTGATGTGATGGGGCAAGCCATTATTGTCGGTGGTGCTACCCGAATCGAATATCAAATGCCAGTCGATTTCATCGTCTGGATACTTTTCCTGCAGCTGTTCGGCAAGCTTTACAATCCTAGCATAGACTTCAGGAGTAACCACAGTCTCATCCGGTTTGTCCAGTCCCTCGAAATTGCGCTCCTCCTCCAAGTGCCAGAAGATCGTCTTCAGGGCGTCCAATTGAGCCTGCCTCTTGTCCGCTGTGGCCAAATAATCGGCTATAGTAGCAGTACCAGACTTTTTCACCTTTTCCACGCTTTCGAAATGGAAGATCTCCTTCAGCTGATTGTAGCAATCAGCATCCTTGTAGATCTCTAAGAATGGGTTGGAGGTGCTGAAGAAATCAAGGTCTATATCCAAAACAAATCCCTTGGAGTCGCTGTCCGTTAAGAAGTCGTTGGGATTGAGGCTTTCGTTGTCTGCATCGTGGACCTGCAGCTCTACGCTCTTCCGATCCTGGAGATCCTCGGTAGTACAGTAGTTGCCATCGGCTATGAAGTAGTCGAGTGGGCAGTCTACTCCAATGCGGTCGTCCTTTTGGCCAACTTTGAAGTCGTGTCTGCCATTGGGCAGCTGCTGGCACCACGAGTTCTTCAGCCACACCACTCGGTTGAAATGACCTAAACGAATGTAAGACATTTTGATCAGATGTAGTTTTATAACAACATTTAAATGTAGAATACTTATAAAAAAAATAGTAGGTGCTCAGAATACGGTACAGTTGTCAGGCTATAGAAGTATTCGTGCAATCTTTTTAAAGCATAAAATAGGTTGAAATAGGTAATAATGTATAAATTTTGCTTTACTAAATAAAGGTATTTCTAGCTTATACTATATTGTTTTACTCGTTTCGTTAATATTAGTTATCCGAGACTGGGAAACTAAATTTAAAATCACTATTTATAGCCCTTATTACGATTGTTCTTATTACACTTGAATCGAAAAATAGAATCAGTAGGTCTTAATAGTTGTCATCCTACATCACTTACAGCTGCGGCCAAAAATAGTAGTTTTCTTACTTTTTGAAAGGGAAAATGAAAATAGTTTGTAAGTCACGTTAGAAAAATATAAGCATTCATATTTTCTGTTGAGCAGTGAATTGAAATGAACTTTAAATGCTTTGAATTCCTTTTAATATACATGTAAAGAAAAGTGATGCATCATTTCATGTGGCCCACTACTTTTAATTCGACCGCAACTGTATACATCAACTTTTCAAACAATTAGGGAGTCTTATAAGAAATGCGTCTCTCCAATCGCCCAAAGATCACTCACCTGCATATAGAGTGGGCATGATCCAGTTCTCGATGGTCAGCTCGTTGAGCATGGTTTCCTTCTCGTACGTCGCACTGGCGGCTATGTGTCGGGGAATGACCAGATCCGGATGGGAATCGAAGTGGACGATGGTGTTGTTCGCCAGGGGAAGGTGACGGGTGGCGAGGCAGCGGTAGATGAACTCCAGAACATCGTTGTGATAGTCGACGATAAAGACGGGGATGCGCTGGAATTTCCTCAGACTGTTTTGGGCGATACTTTGTGGAACTCCCCGGGCGGGAACTAGAAGGGGAACCTCCTCCTCGTCATCATCGTCCGCTTCATCATCCAAATCTTCGCTGTCCTCGCTCTCGGCGTCTTCCTCCAGATTCTCCTCCTTTTCGTCTGCAGTCTTTTGTCTCTTTGTTGGCGGCGCCTCCTCCACCTCCCCCTCCCCTTCGACCACATTCGGCACCCATTTCTTCGTACTTTCGGGACTTTCACTTTGCGATAGCTTTTTCAGGGCCGCCGCAGCGCTCTCCTTATCCAGCGTATCCGATTCCATATCGCCCGGGATTTCTTGGTCTATTTGCCTTGGTACTGAGCACGCTCCTGGAATACTTTCACAGTGGGCAGACTTAATTTCTTTTGTATTTAATCTTTTAGGGTCTTTTCTTTCTTTGACCAAGAAAACAGCTGTTTGACAGTGTGCCCAAATGCGCTGTGCACTTTGTTGCGGAACCAGTTGGAACTTCGAATTTCGGTTTTTCGACAGCGACGCCGGCAGAGCGGGCGTATTTTTACTCTCACAACTTCTCGGAGAGCAGATCTTCCATCTCCCTTTTTCACTGACACTTACGGTGGCTTACGTTTTTTGACACTTACGTCGCAAAATCCGAAAAGAAAACAGCTGTTTGACAGTGTGCCCAAAAAGGCGCAGTGCACTTAATCGCAAAAAAGATTGGCTACCTTCAAAAAGGGGTTGTCTTGAATTGAATTAACCAAAATATTAGTAAGTTCATAATAAACAATTACACATCTTTTACAATTACATCTTTTAGCGAAAGTTATTTGATGCACTACAAATATGGTTATCTTGAAATGCAGTCATACTACTTATAACTGAACTATCGATATTTGCATAAAAGTATCGTTACTAGGACCGGTGTGACCGCTAAATTTGAAAACATGTTTTTATTTTTTATTCTTTTCCTTCGGTTATTAAAATATGAATATTCCGTACTTTTTTCATCATAATTTAAAAATATTATATTGAAGATTTTGTTATCTAAAAGAGACAATTTGTCTTAAGCTTAAACCGAATTTGGGTACGTACATTCAAACGTACTATGAACAATGTACATTGTACGTATACCAAATTGCATTGCTGGAGTAAGATAATTGTTTCTATAACCTTTCTGAACTTTAAGTCTAACTTGCATTTCACAAAAAACTTTCTTGCCAATCTAAAATTTGACTTCTCGAAAAAAAGAAAATGCATCCCAACCTTTTTTTCGGTTGGTCAAGTAAGGAGCGGTGTCGGTCGCGACATGTCGAACGTGACAAAAGTTCTTGCTGTACAAAAATAAACGTAATATACCGTCGACTTTTATCTAGTCATGTTCGCTTGTTCGAAACATGTAAAAGAACTGCGAAAATGGCATCTAAATTAATTAAATATCTAATTTATACACATAAGTATCAATACACCAGTTAACTTTCATGTATTACAATAAAATATAAAATTAGTAAGTAATTTGAGAATTTTTCTTCAAAGTAAATTTTTCTATTATTATACAAAGCTAGGTCATTTGGAGCAGGTCGACTGAAACTTTGCGATAAGCCGAAGAAATTTATTTTAATTTTTAAAAATAGAAGACAAAAATA